AAACATTGGCCTCGCACCGCGAGAAGGATGACAATGATACGACACTCGATAGCACAATAACGTCCTCGGAACACACACAGTACAGCGGTTGCACACCGCCGACCGGAGAGTTTATGTCGATCAATCACATCTGGGCAATCCCACCCTGCCGCCTCGGCGAGTATGCATCTCTCGTCTTCATTCTCGTCGAAAGCCCGTCTTCCGGCCTACTCTGCTGGACCGCGTTCTACAAGTTTCTCGAACTGAAACATACTTTTTCTTTCGCGATAAACAGAGAGCGGGAGTTCCAGCCACCAGATATCATGGAGGAACCCTCAATCCGGGTAACACATGCCGCGCCGCGAGTGCGGCTGTAAAAGACAGAGAGAGTCACTGGCTGCGTGGTGTTGGCTAAATGGGGATCTTGATCTGATCGGCTTTTCGACGTCTCGAAAGTGCCAATTCGCTGGGCTGAGACCTGGAGCCATGGTTCTTTGTTCACGAACACTGGACGTCATGCTAGGCAACCCAAGAGCTAGAGGCTAGAAGCGTCGAGAGTTCTACAGTGTCTCATATCTGCTCTTTCAGCTCCGGCGTTCCAGTGACCAGTGGCGTGACTTGGCCTTCCTTGGCCCATGTCGACGTGTGCTTCGTGTCCCGAATCCGTATCGACCCAGCAGACGATCGCTATCTTGCCTTGCTGGCAGGGGCCAGGATGGGTTAGTACCTACCGCCGATTGAGCTAGTTATCATCCCTGCGGGTCTCCTTCGGCTGAGACTCTGGGAGACACCAACACTGGTACTTCTCGCGGAAGCCATGCCGTGCGGTGTAAGTGCACCCTTGGCAAGGCACGCGGGATGCGGTACTTGGGTTCGCTACGAAGTTCATATGTTCCTTCATCCCGTTCTTTTTTCTAGATCCGGATGCATCTTGTCTGTTTACTTTCTGGATTCTTCTCGCGTGTCTCGTCTTAGAAACGAGGAAGCCCTCGTCGTTGTGGAATTCCGTTTACCGTGTCACTCGTTACTGCCACGCCACGCTTCATATCACACCTTCGCTTTCAAGCATATTCAGGCGCAAATTGGGTTCGGCTCGGTTTTGCGGAAACTTTCCCTCGCTCACGTGCTACGTACTGCAGTACTGCAATCAGATCTCTCAAGATGATGTGGTCATTACGAGCGCCGTCGGGGCGCATCTCATCGTTGTCATGCCTGGCGACAGTGCTTCTCGCATTGTCCATACAATCAGTGGCAGCTGCAGGTGGCGACAGTACGCAGGACTTGGGAACCGTACTGGACGGCATCAAGGACCTGTCGACATACAAAGACCTTCTCAAGGTAAGCAACCCTTGAGCTCATGGTCCATAACCGCGAAACTAACAAACATCCAGCAATACCCAGACATCATGCTCAAACTACCAAACACCGCCGGGGTGACAGTAAGCTCCCACTCTCCAACCGCAAGGTTACATGCCGCATACTAATCAAACCCCCAGATCGTAGCCCCCGACAACGATGCGTTCAAAAACTACCAAGGCTTCGACCCGAAAAACCAGACAATGGTAACCAACATGCTCCTCTACCACATCCTCCAAGGCACCGTCTCAACAGAAGCCTTCCCCGAGGGCCCCGCAACCTTCGCCTCCACCCTCCTCACGGACCCGGCCTACACCAACGTCACGGGCGGCCAAAAGGTGCTCATCAACAAGCAGCCGGGGGACGTGGTAGTCTTCACCTCGGGCGCCGGCTCGCGCGCCACTTTAATAGACGGCGACATCCCCTTCCGCGGCGGCCTCATCCAGACGGTGGACACCCTCATGGTGCCCCCCTCGCGCCTCGAGCCCACCGCGCGCGTGGCCTACAAGGACCTGACGGCCTTCCTCGCCGCCCTCTACGCGGCGGACCTAATCCCGCTCTTCGCCGACGCCGCCGACGTGACTATCTTCGCGCCGCGCGACAGCGCCTTCCAGCTGCTGGCGGGGACCCTGACGGGCTTACCGAAGGAATCCCTCGCCCGCATCCTGCGGTACCACATCGTCCCCGGCACGGTGCTCCTCTCTCCGGATCTCAAGAATGGGACGAACCTGACGACCGCCGCCCTCGACACCTCCGGCGGAGGTAGCCCGGTTCTGTCCCACGTCGTGCGGGCGGGGAACAACGCATACGTCGACCGCAGCCAGCTCGTGCAGCCGGACATCCTGATAGCGAACGGCGTGGTTCACATAGTCGACGGCGTGCTGAACCCGGATGCACCCGGGGTGCAGCCCGACCCGGCGGTGGGCACGCAGCCGCCCGTGTTCCCGCAGACGGGGGCGACGAGCACGGGGAGCCGCGTGGCGACGCCGTTCCTGACGGCGCTGCCTTGCACTGTTAGCTGTCCTGTGCCTACCACCGCGGGCCCGAATGTGACGGAGGCGGCGAGCACGACTAGTACGGGTAGTAGTAGTAGTAGTAGTGCCGGGGTTAGGACGACGAGTAGTAAGGCTGGTGCGAGGGGGGCGAGGCAGACTGGGTTGGTGGCTGTTGCTGGGTTACTTGGGGTTGGGATTGGGATGGTAGGTGCTGCGTAGGCGGGGAGGTAATGCTTGGATGGATCCCGGGTAGTGAGGGTTCTGGTCTTTGCTGGAAGTCGGAAGTAATGGGGTGTCTGCGGATGCCACACCGGCGAGACAGGGGAAAAGGGTAAGGGAAGACGAGCGATACCCCCCCTACCGCGACTGTGAAGTGGATTAATGTCTGACGATTAGCGCTCTGTTTGGGATGACATGGACACATATTATAGCTTATAGATAATGGCATAATTGACGTGCGGGATACTGCTAGATATATGGATGCTCACGACCATGCTGAGGTTGGAGTGTTGCCGGTGTACCACAGACTAGTGCCCAGCGTGGCCGGTCAATCTCTTTACCTCAGCCGTCGCTATCTCTCCTTTCCCGTTACATCCCCGTGTTCTGTCCGTCTCATCAAACCGGACTTCGTCCTGAGTGCTCCCGAGATGAGCAGAGTTCAAGGTCCCCAATCTCGGCGCCGTCTGCGACCCTGGCCACGCACATTCCGTTGCGGCACCCCTCGACCTCGTAACCCCTGTCCCCTTCCGGTCATCAGCACGGCGTAGAGCATGGCCGTGTCAGCCATGGTCAGCAGGTGCTGTAAGGAGAAGGAGAAGGAGCAGAAAGTTGGCATTGTGGGCAGCTGTAGTTTCTGGGCTTGTGCTTGTGCTTGTGCTTGGGAGTCTTCCAGGTTTTTTATGGCTATTACTTCGTACTGTTGTGGCGATTGGTTCCTGTCTCTACAGGACGGGACGGAACTCTAGGCCAAAGGACAAGACGTGTTTTTACACACCGCAAACAGTTGCTCGGTGAAAATGATCCAACCGGAATCATGGCATATGTGTATCGAAGTGTTCAAACTGGCGCCACTCCAGGAGTCCAGCAGTGACCTTTCCAAGCTCAGGGACGTCCTCCATGACCATCAAGCAATTTCTGTATCTGGTATCGGCAAACCAGGACCCCTGCAGCCCTACTCGTTCCTCCTACGGTCCATCATGCCGCCCGTCTTCCAATGACGCGCAGTGCGAGCCCAGCTTTTCTCCCTATCGAACACCGAGGCCAGCCGAGTTGTCAGACATCCCCTTAGATTCGACCAACGTCCACGTTCCCCATTTCAGTAATCCAATAGATCGCAGATAAGCCCAAGAGTACCACCCCAGCTAGCATGCCGCCGGCGGCAGCAACGACGCCGTTTCCTACGCTGCTTCCATGTGCTTCTTCAACCGTCCCTACTCTTTCGGCATCAACCATGGCTACGAGGGCGAGGAAAGCGAGGAAGGTCACGGTGATGCCGTTGGAAGAGATTACGACACTCATTTCCTGCGAGCTTTCAAACTAGGCCGAGCATCTGCCATGTGGCTCGTATCACTCTAGCTGGCCATATCTTCCGATACTCCTTCAACCGCTGGAAGCCAATGACTGCAATACCCCAACAAACTACAGACAGAGCAATCAGCCCGACAGCAAGCATCATACCCGCAGAACCGCGCAGCAATGTCCCTATGCTTTGCTATGCTGCTTCCAAACCACCCCCGGCCATCAAAGCAAAACCTCCCACAGTCAGGACTCCTAACACGAAATCTTTTGGCATCGTTCCGTGTCCGCCACCGCCACGGCCCCCACTGCTTCATCGGCCGCCTCCACCGCCGCCGCCGTGACCTCCTCCTCCACCGCCGTGGCCTCCACCACCTCCTCCTTTAGCTTGAGCTAGAGTTATCAGGAGTAGCAGAGTGAGCAATGTGATTGCTGCCTTGACGCCGGGCCTTTGAAGGGTCGGGAGAATCATGAGCAGAGTACGCGACTGGTGGGGAAGTCCCTAAAAATAGGTTGTTCTCCTCTGCCGTTGACGATACCTTCTGTCGCTGGTTTTGCCAAGTTTGAGATGATAGACGCTTGATGGACTGTTAAACGATGTGCGGGGACCTAGCTCGTTGGTAACATGAGTTCTTATATCGCAGCAGCTTGCGAGATATATGTAAACCATTTCGACTGAGCACCAGCCGTCAGAACCCCGGCTATTCTCTTCCATTGAAACAAGTCAGTCGTACAGTCGTACAGTCGTCGCCCATATTACCCTAGTTGGGCCATATCTTTCCACCTGGCGAAGACCGTACCACGCGACCGCCCCCGGTTCTGCAGAATCTTGCGGCTTGAATTCCTGAAGGACACGCTCCGACCGCCTACCTGATCTTCCATTCTTGACTCTGACTCTGCATATGCACTACACAACCGGAGAGATACGAAAAAAGGGACAAAAAGAAGCAGCACATATGCCCATATCCTTCCTCCACTACCCCCCAATATAATCCAACCGGCAACAAGACTTGTCCCCAACCAAGCCTTCCTTCCCAAAAAGGGGATAAAGGCACACAAAATTACTTTCACAGCGAGCAAAAGAGATGGTAAAATTACTTTCACAGCGAGCAAAAGAGATGGTATCCAACCGTCGTCGACGGCTCCTTGTTCGTATGCCCGCTACCAGAATTGAACTGGCGACCTCATCATTACCGGAGAACCGAGTATTTACTAGTGATGCGCTCTACCACTGAGCTAAGCGGGCCGATGAAGAATCTGCACCCAAGATGGAGTTTTGTGTGGAGGATGGCGAGTCATGACACGGACGTTGAAGTTTATTGAGTGGCCAGGAGTACGGTTGGCCACGAGGGTGCGATGATGTTCGTGGTTGCGGGGACTCGGGAGAACTGAAGATACGAGAGTAATTGCAAGCAGGAACCGACAATGACGTCCACCATAGCCATGGGTTTCCGGGATGCCTGCCGCATCGGTGTCCTCCTCCACCATAACCCCCGTCGCCTTCGGCCTGCGCGGCGACCTGAGATGACGAGGATGCCGAGTCTTTCGGTGGGAGCTATATTGTCTAGACTCGGCGAGGAAGAACAGGGGCCATTGAGGGGCGGTAGAGACTGGTGGCTTGGCTATATCCGATAGTAGTGTCATCGTTATGTGCACAAGTCCACGAGGTCCAAGCATGTAGGGGGCCTGGTTCACCTTTCCGGATACCGATGTCATAGTAGCCAAACGGCTACCACCAGGACACCCAGCGACAACAGGATCGTACCAGGCGTGTACCTCAGAACGGCGGCGTCGTTCTCGTCGTCGTCGATGCAGGTGCCATTGCAGGAGCCGTGCTTCTTCTTCTTCTTCTTTGCTTCTGCTAGGCATGCCAGGAGGAGGAGGACGATGGCGAAGTGTAGTACGGAGAAGGTGATGCGTCGCTTGGTTGGCAGTGGAAAGGCCATTCTGGACACGTGTTGGTAGAGAGCTTCCGGATTAGGAGTTGGAAAGTGGTGAGTTTGATAGAGTAGCTAACCATAACTTATAAGTCAGCTACCAAACAATCGACGTATACCCTCCCACCACAAGTCCAAGTGGCCAAACTCTGTCTGTCCAGACGTCATATCCCATCAAGTCAAGTCACCGCCACATCCCCATTTCGCGGGAAGTCGCGTGTAACAATTGCGACATTGGTCTGCTTTACGGGCCTCCCTTCTACGGCACAGCTATTTCATCGCACAGCCCGGCCATTCCTACACAACAAGCGAAGAGCTCCCAACGATCAGAGGAAGAGATTCACGCGCGATATTGAGATCGACCATGTCGAGGCCTCTCAGCTGGCAAATAACAAGACAGAGAGGCATCCAAGCCAACAAAACAACAATAACAAAAAACAGGGTATCATTCTCATCCCAGTCCTCCCAGATCTTGAATGGAAATGCGTCATCGCACGTCGGTTCGTTGGTTCGAGTCGGGTACGAATCGATAACCCGGGAGGTGGTCGTGTTGTTCACCGACTGGCGAAGGTGTGTTCTCAGCCGGCTGACTGGTGAAGACCGGGTAAACTTCGTCTTGGCGACGGCGACGTGTTGTATTGGGGAACCATCACATAACGACACATGCCTCCGACAGATGGTCTTCCCTCTGCACCTCTTCGGCGCTGACCCAGCTAACCGAGCTGCTGGACGATGCCGAGCGTTTCCGTTCCTCCCTCTGGCCCTGCTGTTGGTCTTGACCCGGTGGTGCTTGAGAGCTCATGTCGACTACCGGGTCTGTAGTGCTCGAGCTTGAGTTTGACCGGCGTGGCGAGGAAGAGGAGAGGGCCAGGTCTTGCGCTAGTTCCGCGCTCGTTGCCGTCGCCGGATCACAAAAGTTGTAAGATTGCTCCATGATTTCGGCGGGCATGATATCGACTCCATGATATGGGCGGAGAAATGTCAAACCCCAGGGATAAGAGACCACAACATTCCATAAGAGGAGGACCTTAAGTATACGCGTGCAGGAAGAGAGAGAGAGAGAGACAGACAAAAGGAACAATGGTAAGCTGATCACAAACCGTATCAGAAATGCGGCCGCAGGGTGGGTGGTCTGGAATGGTCTCGTGGCGTTCACATGTCGCACTGTCAAGTCGAACAAAGGAGAGTCAGGAGGACTCGGGACAACCGCCACCAAACCAACTATACCAATAGCAGACTGAAGGATTTGCTGCAAGCCATCCCTCGAAAGGGTAAGCCGGTCGGCTGAAAGGGCAAAGCACAACCACAACCCCTAGATGACGTTGGAGAGAGGAATAGAATCATGGAGATGTCGGAGCCGTATTGGGAAATTCTGGCCCCCTTCGTGTCACTCGCTCGTGATGCAGGATCTGGTGGATGGAGTGACGCAGGCCAATCTTGTGTGGGAGTTTCGAGTGTTGGGTTAAGCACTTTGAGTAAAGCTGAGGCCAACAAGTGAGGGGGAGGAGCTGTCGTGTGAGAGCAACGAAACCATGACGATGGAAAAGGATTCGAGTTTAAGTGAGCACCGTCACCCCGCGATTGCGTTTATCTCGGGCGCGGCAGTCGATCTAGACTTGCAAAAGGTTTCTGGATGTTGACTAATGTTGAGTATTAAATGGTAGCTGTTTAACATTGTTGGCTGTAATCTGCCGCGAGCCCTGTTAGAAAACGGATCCCGGACTACCCGTTTCACTGCATTCTTATCGTTGGCAAAGGGTCAAAAGTGGTGATATTCGTAAGCTGAAGTACAGTAGGTTCCCTTCCGCTATCCATCTCCCAGACTCCTCCAAAAAGGGGTGCTCTTCTCCCAAAGCTCTTCCTAGAATTGTAGTAGGTGATACACAGTCTATCTCCTCAAGAAAGGGGATTAAGATACCAAAAAGGGTCGGACGAGAGTATGCCACCCTGTTAGGAGAAATGCTACCATCGCGCCCCAAAACAATCTCCCAGCTCAGCCTTCCAAAAGCCCTTCGTATAGACAAACTCAGGCTTCTAAGTCCAAAGCACAGCAACAGTACTAGCAAACGTAGCGAAATTGTCCCTCCAACTCACCAAGTCCACCCCGGCCTTGATAAACATGCTCACGGCCCCGATGGTGTCAAGGTTGTACACCACGAACGGCAGTCCCGGCGGTGTCGTGCCCGCGTAGCCGCTGGCCAGGATGCGGCGCTGGCAGTTCTCCCCCGCCGCCCGCGTGCTGCAGTTCGTGCTGTAGTTGTTGAAGAAGCTGTACAGCCCGGCGCCGTACACGACGACGTTGCTCGAGCCGAGCACGCGTAGTCCCCATGCCATGAGACAGGGCGGTTCGTGCGTCGGCGAGCCCCATGGCCCCGTGGGACCGACGGCTCCGGCACAGTCGGCGGCGAAGTCCGGGTCGTAGAGCGCCGCGTTGAGCGTGGTGAAGGGGTACGGCGCGGGGGGGTTGGGTTGGTAGTAGGGGGTTTCGGTTTGGATGTGGCCCATGAAGATGTCGTGCGTGTTGACGAGCTGGTACTGGTAGAGGACGTGGTGTTCCACCGCCGTGCCGACGAGCCAGATGCGGCCCGGTTGGGACTCGATGAGCATCCCGCGCCCGGCGTAGACGTTGATCTGCGTGTTGTTTGGGTCCTCGATGTCGTGGTCAGCAACCCAAAGCCAGATTCCTTCCACGTAGAGATTGCCTGCGCTGCGGGTGATGTGGAATGACATGTAAGCTGCTATACAGTCCGGGTCCGGAGCGGTGGGTTGGCTTGGCGTCTTGGGACAGTCGGAGAGTTGTAGGTTGGAGCCTGCGAAACCGCCCACGCGCACGTGCACGTCCCAGAGCCCGGAGGGTGGGGATGTAGTGGGCGTGTTGAGGTTGTATTCTATTAGGACCGCGCCGGAAGTGCCGCCTTGGGTGGACAGCATGATGTCGCTTATTTCCACGTATCCCGTCTGGCCGGAAGTGCCGACCTGGATTACAGGTCGGGGGATGTTGATGTCTGAGAACTTGGGACCTGCGCCCATGATGACTGCCGAGACGGCTTCGCCGACGATTCGGATGTTGGGCGGGATGTAGACCGTGTCTGTGACTTTGTAGTAGCCTGCATCGATGAAAGCGACGGCCCCGTTATTGAAGCGACCTGCTACAACTTGGAAGAGGGCTCGCAGGGCGTTGGTGTCGTCGGTTACTCCGTCGCCGGCGGCGCCAAAATTGCGCGCCGAATAGATGTTGGATGCGGTGGTGTTCTCGTACTGCGGTTTCGACCGCTCGTAGTACTTGTTGTTTAGCAGGAGGTTTGCGGGCCGTGGAAACAGGACGGGGTAACTGCCGGAGTATGGAAAAGGACCGTTGGGCAGGTACTAGTTGCCCTGAAGTTCCAAGATGTCAGTTATAGAGTGTGGACGATATTACTTTCAGACAACTTACAGATGCATGTCCTGCCTCGTACACTGCCGCTCCTTTTGTTCCAGCGAGATAGACCTTGCCAGCCGGGCCTTCAAGCACAGTCGGGACATTGTTGAACGCAACATTCTCCATGACGAACGAACCCTGACCAGTTTTGTTTGTGAGTGCACGGCTGGTTATGATTGCCTTGGTGACGTTTGTGAACGTGCTGTCGATCAGCGTTACGCCACCAACATCTGCCGTCCCCATGTCGATGCCAATGGCGCAGTCGATGATATTCAGAGACTTGTACGTCCAGCCCCAATCCCATAGCTGCTTGACGGCTATTGCTGCCCCAATGATGGTAAGGTTGCGCATCGTATATTGCTGGTTGCCGAGTTCAACGCCGTACATGCCGCCGTAGATGACAAGGTCGTTCAACATACCGCCGCTGCCCGACTCCATGAAGATTGCCGTGTGCTCATCGGTGGGGTCGTTCGACAGCAAGAAGACGCAGTTCTGGATCGATGTCGCTTGCGAGGAAGGCCAGTGGATACCGCATGCTCCTCCAGGTACGGACCTGGTGTCGAAGATGATGTTCCGCACCTGTCGGAAGAACACGTTGGTGCTGGTGAACTGCAGGTAGCCGCCGGATGTGTACTTGTCTGCCTCGATGAGGCAAAGCGCCCTGTTGGAGAAGTCGGACGACGCCTTGATGGTGGGCATGTTGTTCGGGTCCCCTATGATCTGAGTGTAATAGTAGTCTATTATCGAGCTCGAGATCTTGTAGGTCCCTCCGGGGAAGTACACGACGGCCGGCGTGAGAGTCGTTCCCACGCATGGCGAGTCCCCGCCGCAGCGGTTTCCGGTGCTGATGGCGGCATTGATGGCAGCTGTGTCGTCGGTGACTTACTGGGG